TGGTGGCTATGGACGTGATGATTGCTCGACTATCTGGTTCCCCGACGTTTGCGTTAGACGACGCGGTGGTCTCTGCGTCCCCCAAGTGGCGACGAGTTACTTTGGCCAAATCAAGTCTCAGCATGGACTATGGATTGAGCAACTCGTTGCACTTGTTTATGGATTGGAGGTCCATGAATCATGACTCGAGTAACTCGCGACCCACACGATTGTCCTCGGCCTGATCAAATTTGAATGTGTGGCCAGGTCTCGTCGACTGAGCCGCACCTTGAAAATTGGACTCATTTCTCCACACTGCTGCTGCGTATTCGGCATTTCGCGTCCTGAGAAGTCTTCCAGTTGTTCCGACGTAGTTGCTTTTCCAATTTATAGGATACGATCAGTATGGTTCTGCACATTTATGATTGAAAACTGAAAACTCCCTTATGGACTATGATCAGTATTAACAGAATGCTTGTATTGGTACTTTAAGAAATCTTCTGACGTCCCCATACAGAACTTACGCTTTGGGGAATCTTCTTAATTAATCCAAACACATCTCTGATTATTCAGGATGAACTATGAGCTCCTTTTTTAAAGATGGTCGAAGATTTATATGCGGAGAGTACCTAAAGTCGTCTGTGCGCCATTTTTTGCGGCAGCCACCTCTTAACCTTCAAAGTTGTTCAGTTGGATCAGTTGTTCTCTGGTTGTTGTTCTCTGGATCAGATCCAGAGAAACGTGCTACCTGTAGGTTTGCCCTTGGTTATCAGCCCTAGCCCTATAGTACTGCGCACTTTGTCCCAGCACCTTATGAGTGCACTTCCAAAAATCACCTTGTTTCGCATCTCTTCCAGTCCAAGTCCGCGAGGAACATGCGAGACACCTCCGATATTGGTAATCTGCAGGCGATTCTCAAGACCCTCGTTGTAGACTGCCAACTCCTCATGCAGCAAGTGGATGTTGACCGGCTGCCGGCCAATGATCGGGCCGATTACTCTCGCCGACTGTGGACTTCCGGTCAGGCTGAACTGCGCGGCAGTCCAGTCCAGCTGAAACGCGCCCTGCTGGCTCAAATAGAAGACATTGCCAACCTGAAGAGTATTCTGTTGGAGCACACCGGTGGTTCTGTGCCGGACCTCGGACAAGCTGGCAACGCAGCCTCGGAGATGCAGACCGCTATCATAATGAACGGATCTGGACATGCTGCGCAGCCCTCACCTACGAGAAACTGGGTAAGTTGGTAAAAAACAAGAGTCAAGTTAGGCGAACGAACGTTTTCGATTAATTTATTATCAGGCAAATATAATAATTTAAAGGGAGGGTAGAGTTAACGGAAGTTTACGCAAAAAATCAGCTGTAATTAGGGGGGAGGGGGTGGGAAATGTTTAGAGATCAAAAGGAATGGGGGAGGAAGAGGGACGGGTCCTACAATTAGTTTATGTCACTCGGTCGTCCCGTCACTGTCTGCTCATCGCCTTGCGGCGTAATAGGAGGTGTGCGGACGGATGTTGGGTTGGTATTCGGCTACGGGAGCCTTGGGGCTGCTACAAACGCCTTCTGTGCACATAAGATCAGGTCAGTGAGCCGTATGGCATCTGCCTCGGCCGTCGCACGCATCCGCTGACGCAGGATCTTGGTATGTTTCGCCGGCAATTTATATATCACTCGAAACGCTTGGTTTACGTCTACTGGATGACTGCTGTCTTTTTCAGAAACTGATTGCTTAAACTTTTTTAACTCTATCTTCCATTTAGAATA